AACTTCTCCTGATTGTTGAAAAATAAATTTTAATTCCCCTTCCCGGAAATTTTTAAAAAAAAAAAAAAAAAAAAAAACATCTTTCGTTTTTATATTCCAAATCCAGCGATAGTGTTTTCCTTCCCCGATCTGGCGACGAAATTTTTATAAAAATCGAATGAAATTCTTCAAAATCGTTTTTAAATTTATCACACGTCAGGAATTAATTGTTATTTAAAAAAAAAATACTTTTATTAAATTTCTTACTTTTTCATTTTTAATTTTATTTAACTTTTTTCTTAATTTTCTTCATAATTTTTAAAACAAAATTTTTTACTATTTCAATTTTAAATAGTTTTAGCAACTTTTTTTTGATTATTTAAAATGTTTGAAATTTAAATTTACTTTTATCTTTCCTATAAATTATTTTATCTTTTATTTATTTATTTATTTTTTTGTTTTTTTTTTTTTTTGTTTATTCAAATGCGTCGGCGTTTAGGTTTTAATTTTCTTTGATTTGAACTGTATGAACTTTCCGTTACAACGTTATCCATTGAAATATCACAATGTTTGGCAAATTTTTTGAGTAAAATGTCTGTCTCTCCAGTTTAAACTATCACAACTTGACAAACTGTTTTTCTTTTCTTTTTTTTTTTTTTTTCTTTGAGATTTTTTCTAACTATAAGATCACCGTGAGGGTATATTAATTTGATTGTTGTGTTTGCAAATTAAGTATAGAAAATAGTACTACTTAGTAGTATCGCCCAGTATTGGGCGTTGTAAACTCAAGCCCGCTTCGAACATTAAGGTGAAGAAGTAGAAACCGAGATCCGCTTGAATTGCCACACCTATATCTGCCTCAAAAATTAAAGATAGAAAGTAGTAAATAGTACCGAGTAATGCCGAGATCTGGTACAAGTTGTAACCTATCCGTTTCAAAAACGAAGGATAGGAAGTAGTAAATAGTACCGAATTGTACCGAGATCTGGTGGAAGTTCTACGCTTCTATCCCCGCCAAAATTTAAGCATAGAAAGTGATAGTATTGAGTAGCATCGAGATCCCACAAGAGATGTAAACGTCCGTTCGCTTCAAAAAAAGTTGGAAAATCACGAAAATCGCTTGATTACAAGCTCAATCCATTAAATTTTGATGTGGAAGTGGCGAGATTTATAAGTAAACGCGTCATTAATTTCCAAGAGTAGCTAAAGAGAGAGAGAGAGAGAGAGAGAGAGGGAGAGAGAGTTACATCACGCACAAGCTCAATCCATTAAATTTTGATAAGGAAGTGGCGAGATTTATAAGTGAACTCGTCATTAATTTCCAAGAATAGCTAAAGGGAGAGAGAGAGAGAGAGAGAGAGGGAGAGAGAGTTACATCACGCACCAGTAATTTTTATTATAATAACTGTATATCCGAAATTGAGCCGCTGCCTTTCGGAAAAATATTCCCGAATAGCTAAAGAGCGAGTTACATTATCATCGAAGCGACTTTTACATATCGAGAATAATAAAATAGAATTAAACTGGGTAAATAGAAGGGCCGATGTCCTAAGAGTAGTTATTTCAATTTCGTCAATAGCCAAACGTAGTAGCATTAAGTGAAGAGCCTTTTTTTTAAATTTAACAACTATCAGACGGAGTTAAACCAAGCCAATAGAGCGGCCTTATATCTTTTGCGATTTTTAAATTTCGAGAATAATCGGACAGAATTCAATTAGGTAAAGAGAGCGCCCGATATCGCAAGAGCAGTTTTTCGAATTTCGAGAATAGAAATAATTTAAGTAAAGAGATTAGTGACCGAAGAGGTTTTTTTTTTAAGTTCAACAACAGTCAGCCGGTCTTAGGCTGAGCGAATAGGGCGTCCGATGGCTTTAAAGCAGTTTATAAGTATAGGAATAGATAAAACCTGGAACAAGCTTTTTATAAGTGCTACACCAGTCAGGCGGATTTAGATCAAGCGAATAGAGCGATCTCTATATCCTGGAAGCGATTTTTGTGATTTTCGAGAACAGACGGACTAAGCTAAATCAAGCGAACGAGTCGATCGAAGTGAGTACTCGAAGCTAATTTGTTCAATTTCGCAAATAATCAAATAGAATTAAATAAGTTAATAAGTAGGCCAGTAATCCAAGAGGTTTTTAGTTTATTCTCAAGAATAGTCAGGCGAAGCTAAATTAATAGAATAGATCGGTCAATGTTGACAGAGTGGTCTTTTGAATGTAGAAAAACAGTTAAATAATTTTTTCCTTTAGATGATGTGTGTCAAAGGTTCGCCTTAAGGCGAGTCTATCGCACTTGCTGCTTTACCTTAGTTTTTTTATTTAGTTTTCCTATGCGAGTTGTCGCATTTTAATCCGTCGCAATTTAAAGTTGTTGCTTTTTTCGTTTTCGTTTTCTCTCGTTAGCGTTTCAGCGTATGTGTGTGCATGTGTGTGTGAGTGTGTGTGTGATCTATGCATCACATATTACATTTGCGGTTTGCAATAATGTAGATTTCGTTTAGCGGTACATCTACTTTACTCTTTTTCTTTTTTTTTTTTTTTTTTTTTTTTGAACATATATACTTACATTTCTACGCGGCGGTAGTGCCTTTTTAATACAAATAAATAAAAAAAAATGATTGTCTGATCTTCATTATTGTATATTTAGGAGTACATGCAATATACATATATATGTGTGTGCATATGCATAGGTATGAATGTATTGTACATATAGTTTGAATAGTAATGGATTCAATAAGCTGAGAACTTTTATCAAAACATTTAAATGTAAATTAATTACAATAATCAAAAAAATGTTTCTATTTTTTTTTTTTTTATTTTTCGTCACAAATTTTGTATTTGTCTGTCCACATTATCTGTTTTATGGAAATTCTAATCACTTTGTGATTTTTGAAAAGCATAGTGGTCGTAGTAGTAGTAGTAGTAGTAGTAGTAGTTAGTGATTTTGGGTTTTCAAGCGTGTATTGAATTCATTTCAAAGGAAATATTAATTAGGAAACATAATAGAAAACTATATAATATATAATTGAAGAATGTCTTTCTTTCATTCGATTTGATTCATTATCCGAAAGATGTTCGCTATAGTTTTTAAAAATTTTCAATGGAAATGAATATAAATAAATATAAATTAAAGCTTTTAGGATATAACTCTCAGCAACCTGTCGCGTTCATTTTCTCCGAAATTGCAAATCGAGATAAATTACAAATATGCAAATTTCAATTTTTTTAGAAATTATCGTTCAATGTTCATCAAAGTTAGATATGAGTCACTTACGGTACTGAATTAACCTAAAAAAAAAAAAAGAAAAAAATGCAGCTTCAAAAGCCAATAGAAAGTTGGCTTGGAATGAAAATGTAGTAAGCGCACATGTCCGTCCGTCTCTCGCAAAAGCAACCAAGAAAGCAATGTTCTTCTTAGTTTGGGTAGCTGTACCGCATTCCTTATATTCTCCAGTCCCGGCCTATTTAGGAGATTATTACCTGATATATATATATATATATATATATTTATGCTGTATATTTCGATTATTAAGCCTTGAAACACATATACTTTAAATAAAGTGGAATTTTTACAAAAACAAAATATACATATACTTTTATTGCTATTTAGTAGTGTTTAGTATTATTATTTAAATGATACCCAACCGATAGAGAAAATGGGGAAAGGGGTGTAGAAGTGATATGTGCTTAAATAAAAATTTCTTTTTTTCATAAAAATTCAACATTTTTCTACAAATATATAATTCTTTTTATACTCATCAGCCGACAGGTTGAGGGGCATGTTCGTTAAGTCAAAATGTTTGCAACACCTGGAATCAAGTCTGAAAGAATTCTAAATCGACTTAAGCATATCCGTCTGTCTGTCTGTGACAAACATTTTTCCAAATTGTAAAAACGAAGCTAAGATTGCAAGCTCGTGCAGGCAGATTGGTATTGAAATTGAGCCAAATCGATCAGAAGGTATGGTTGGTTACTTTTATACAATATTACAAGCAATAATAATAAATTTACATTTATATTCTATGGGTGGCCTGCAGTATTTGTACAAAAATGGGAGAAAATCAGCCACGCCTATTCTATATTATAGAAACATTTGCAGCATTCAGAAAGAATATTCAGAGACTATATAATCGCTTATTATCAAAGATTTGGTCGCGGCCGAATATAATTTTCTTATTTGTGTAGTTTGACGAGTGCTTTTTTAGTTAGTTTAGGGTCATAAATATCAATCGTAAAAGAAGGGACTCTTGGAAAAATTCCACTTCCCAATAATTCTAATTGTACTGTTTATTCTTATGAGACCGTGCAAGTCTAGAAAGACGAATTTTCGAAATATGGGTGAAGTTTGTGCGGACTTTGAAAGAATATATTATATATAATGAAGGTCACTCTCTGAATCGATCTAAGCTTGTCTATCTGCCTTGTTTTCTTGTGTTCATAGACCTGCCTTTCATTATACCAATCGATTCGAAATCACGTTCTACACTTTCTTCAAATTGAAAGAAAATGTGTTAACTTCCGATATTTCAGCTAATCTTTGAATAAACCAAGGTTTTATTATCCACTTGAATTTTTTTTTTTTTTTTTTTTTGAGAAAACACACAGACAGAGATGTGGTAAAGCAATTTTCGGAATGCAAACAGTGCGTTTAACACCTCGAACAGTTTAATAAAACATTTTATTATAAGATTCCATGTACGAGATAAGTTAAAATAGTTCCATTTCAGTATTTTGTCTAAATTGCATGAGAATATTATTTCTTTTCAAATAAATTTGCAATTATCCCACAGATGGTTGCACAGTTGAGAGCCATTGTACATTGTGCTAGAATAAATAACAATTTAATTATTTTAATATTTTTTGAAATTTTTTCCGTTAATTTAGATAATGATCATATTTTAGTAAAATCATTTTTTACAAGCTTTTTTTACATGACATATGCGCTTATAGAATATTTATCTACTAATACCACTACTATTACTATTATTACAAGTATTTTCTGTATTATTTTTCTTTTAGGTTTTATTTCCTTTAATTTTCGCCGGTATGTTAGGTAAATGTGATGTGGAGGCAAATGTAGCGGGCGGTGGCACATCTGGCCAGGCGGGCGCCGTACGTTGGGGCATAGCGATGTGTTTGCGCAGTTTCGTTGATCAGGAAATGTTGGAGGCAATGCAGTTAGGTAAATTATTCAAATTTATTGAGAACAATTTTTTTTTATTGATCTTTGGTTGATTGTTTGTCTTAAGCTGGCTTGCTGACACGTGACTATCGTAGACGTGAACGCAAAAAGTTTGGCCAGGAGGGTGCACGCCGCAAATATACATGGAAGAAACGTTAATTTTTATCCACGCTAATAATCGAATGTAAAAGTAATGCTATGATTACATTACATTTAAACATTTTAACCCTAAAATATTCATCCCTCTATGTAGAGTGCGTTTCGCAGCTTGAAATAATAATAACCGTTGTTTTTGCTTCAATATATTTTCTTCTGTTTTTACCGGCAAACGTTTTAAGCAAAGACTAGTCGAGTTACTGGAATTGAAAAAATTAATTAAAAAAATGAAACTGTAAAAAAATTTTTTTATAAATTATGTAATTACCATAAATTAAATAAATAATTTACTAAAATGCAAGCTTCAAGCTTTTCTTTCGTTTGCCACAACACTTGAGGGTATCTCCCCAAAATGTGAAGCAGATCAATGGCTTCTTCCTCATTAAGGTAGTCAAAGCGTCGTTCTACCACATTATCTTCTATTAAATGTGCATTTTGCTCCAATAAGCTGTATAAGCGGCAGTGTGTGTATTGCAATTTAATGCCAGTATCACCATTCATTTGCAAAGCTTTATCCCAGTTGAAATCATAATCTCTTTGTCTACGTTGTTTTAAGTCATTTATGATAACTGCTGTGACACCCAAGACATCGGCAATTTCCTTATTGTTCAAAGAAGCTTTTGTATCTAATAAGAAAATTAAAATTAAAATTATATTTTATTAATATGATTTATTTTCGCTTACTTGGACTTTGCGTTTGCTTTTCGAACATTCTTTCCCGAGCTTCGTCCAATAAATCCTTAAGGAATACTGCCTGACCTTTACGTGTACTCATGCCGTGTATTCGACCAAACTTGATATGTCTTAAGCGATTTTCTTTTATCTCGTCAAGCAATCTTGAGGTAGTTTTAAAGAGAGCTTTAAAATGATCCGATTGACCATTTTCCACTACATAGAGAATTTCCGAGAATTGGAAACGTTTCCAACGATCTATTAGAGCAGCAATATCTCGCGTTAAATACAAAGTCGAACCATCGCTTTTAACAACGGGTACTCTACGGTCTTGCACCTCCACCACTTTTCGGCCGTCTTTTTCCGGTAGAAGTAGATGCTTTGCTTCAAGCATTCGCAATATTTCCAATATTTGTTTCTGAGAGTACTGAGACTCCCATTCGTACATGTCAAATTTAATACCTAAACGTTCGTAAGCGATTTGCAGCTCTTTGATCGTATAATCTCGATATAAGTGCCATTGTTTCGATAGAGAAGACTCACAATTTTCACCCTCCAGCTGACTGAAAATTTGGCGCGCTCTTTCAGCTATGTTACGATCTATTATCGATGCCTCATTGGCTTTTACATAGGCTTTATATAGAGTTTCTATTGGAGCTAGTTGTATTTCTCTTTGGGTTACATCTAGCATTTCGACACCAACTTGCAGCATACCCAATTGCGTACCCCAATCCCCAAGATAATTCATTCGTGTGATCTTATAACCCAACTCCTCATGTAAATTCGCCAAAACGTTGCCTATAATAGTAGAACGTAAATGGCCCACATGAAAAGGTTTAGCTATATTTGGCGAACTGAACTCGAATACCATATGTTTATTAGGGAATTCATGTAGTAGATTTTGCTCTTCACAAAGCAAAGTCCTGATATAAGCATCCCTCCGCAAAACAAATTCCACTTTGGCTGCCTCTTTGCCTTGAGCAGATAAAAGATGTACATTTTCTACCAGTTCAGTATCATATTGGAAATCCTTTAAGGCTTTTAACGAGGATTGTAATTGGGCACTATTTTCTTTGGATGGTGTCCAATGTAAAACGAATTTGTTTTCGCTTAAATACTGCTTTTTCGAAGGCACTTCCAGTTCATAATATATCCTATTACATTTGAAAAATCCATTTATCTGTTAAAGAAACAAATAAATTTTACATTTTTTTAACATTTTCTTAATGTTATATTTATAAAATAAGGTAAATATTCTTAAGAATACCTTTTCACAGATTTTCTTGCGTACAAAAGTAGACATTATTATTCTTTTCCACAAACAGATGTTCAATGAGAGAGCTCTTGCCGGAAAGAGAAATAGAATATGTGAAGAGAACGATTTTCTGAATAAACAGAGTTGCCGACTTCTAATATTTCTTCAGATATTACCATTAACCCGAAAAACACACGGCAATGTTATCTACATATGAACAAAATTATGTGATTAGGTAACCACACACAAATTCATGTTGGAAAAATCGAATGAGAAAAAAGAACTCGGGTTAAAAGAAGAAAAATTTTTATCACGGCAACAGGAAAAAATATTTGTGTTTCTTCACGAAATATAATTTAATAAATTATTTAAAGGGAAAAACGTGAAAGGCAATTACGTGATTATTAAAAGTCACAATAAAAAAAATAAGGAATATAAATTAAATTTGTTTATAAAATAAAAACGTCAGTAAGGCAAGAAAAATCGAAGATTAAAAAGGTAGAGGTAACAAATATTTTTAAAGAAAGATAGAAAATGACAAGTTTCATTTCTTAAGAAACTTTGTAATAAAAAATGTGGTTTCAAATAATTAATTAAAAAGTAAAAAAAAATTCTAAACAAATCTGTATTGACAAAAAAAAGTCATTGTTTAACTTTTTGGACACGTATTGAGAGCCTTACGAAAGCTGAAGAAATTTTTTTGTGTGACGCGTGTGTGTGTGCATGTGTGATTAAAGAAATTCTTTTTGGTTGAATAGTGAAGAAAAAACCTTAAATGTAAATGTGAACTGTTTACTGATCTGTTTTTTGCTCTTATTAGTTTTACTGGGAGCTATGCCATCTGACTGCTTATAGATTTCGCAAACGAGGCATTACATGAAAAGTACATTAGAAAAAAAATCAATAAATTGAAGTGTTTTAGCTTTGAATAATATCAACAACAATAATAGTAGTAACTAAGAATTCCGATTGTTACAAGTGTTACTTGAATGCTTTTATAAATTAAGGGGTGTTTTTATTTATTATTTCTCAATATATTAACAACCTTTATTTTAAGGGGCGTCGATTTTGTAAATCAAATAATTAAACCTTGAAATTTTGGTTCAGTTACTAGGTCAAAGTGTTTTTGGCGAAAAAGTAACATTATCTTGCTTTTACTTGCTTTAATTTCCAGTTGTCAAAATCTAATCACACTTTGCATGAGCAGAGAATACGGATAAGAAAACAAAATAAGAATTTAATTTTAATAAGAAAATAAAAAGAAATTTACTGGCTTTACCTAGACGTTAAATAAATTAAAACAGCAGACATCATGTCTATGGCTGGACAGACTATCAACGATCGGTTGTTGGCCGCACGGCACAGTCTCGCTGGTCAAGGTTTGGCCAAATCTGTGTGCAAAGCGACAACAGAAGAGTGCATTGGACCTAAGAAAAAACACTTGGATTGTAAGTATAAGAACTATGATAAAAAAAAAAAACCGCAAAAAACTTTTTTTCCATTGAAAAAGCAAAAAAAAAAAATCAAGTATTGTCTTTAGGAGGAAACCTACATCTAAAGATCTATTGAAAATACGCAGAATTTCCTTAAACGAAGTAACTAAGCTAAGAAAGAATATATGATGAATGACCAGCCCAACACATTTAAATAAGCATATGGCTACGGAATTAATTAATACTAAAAGAACCCTTTTTTTAGTTTTTTTCAGTGATATTAACTAGTCATAGTTTTAGTAAAATTCTCTCAATCAATTTTCTTTTGCTTTTCATAGCAGAGGTGCTGTGAGCTAATGTTGAGCTGTAGGCTTGCCTATGAAGTCGACTTTGTAATTTTTGCGGCCCCAAGTGTGTTTGCCACAGGCGGATAATCAAACAGGTGGACGGATAGGTTTACATCGATTTGCCATTTGACCTCTGAAGTTACTTTCTGGGCGCTTCAACGTAACGTTTCGACTTAATAAATATACCATAACGTCTTGTTGATGTATATGAAAATAATTCAAGTTCGGGTGCAAGCATTTAACATCCCTCCAAGCATTAGAAACTTCTGGTGTGCAAAAGTGATCTCGATCAACTAAACAAGAACATTTTTCGTCGACAATATACTTAGCCTTTTAAATTAATTTTCTTGTCCGTCGGCCTTGCCATTCCGTCTCGGCTCTCTTCAGATAATTGCTATAAAGAGAGAGAGAGAGAGAGAGAGAGAGGGAGGGACGGAGGAAGGGTTGAATAATATCTCCTTGTGACGCGTAATTAGCATTTACTCTAAATGGTTCGAAAATGTTAAAGTACAATGTCGAAATTTTTCCATAAAAAAGCATTATTAGGTAGATTAACGATCAAAGCCATTGTAGAATAATAGTATACATGTTTTTTTTTTTTTTAATTTGACCTACCAGGCATAGAAGTGAACACGATGGTGGTTGGAAAGAATTATAGGTACAGAGAGAAAGGGAAGAAGTTTTTTCTTCTCGCCGCTTTTGCCTTGAAGTTCATTTTAATTCAGGAAAAGTAATTATATCAAGGGGGCCGGAAAGGGTAATGTAATTTTCCCGCATTAACTTCAAAGAGTTTTTATTTTTAATCAATAAGGTAATAACCCCTTATTATCAATAATCTTTTGCTATCTAGTATGCAAAATTTGTAACGTCAAGTCAATAAAAGTGAATTGGTTTTTGCCCAAAATATCTAAGGATAGTGTTTTGGACATTGTCGGAATCTTGAAATTTTTTACCACTTACAAAAAGTTGTAGCGATCGCAATAAAGGGAAATCCGATGGCGTAATATTGGGCGAGTATTGTTGGTGACGCAATACCTCCGCAATACTCCAATTCATCAATTTTTCCTAAGGTTCGTTCGTCTGACACAATTTCGTATTGCAGAATAACAACGTTTTCCTTTGACAATCGCTGAGCATTTTTCAATTAAAGATTGACTTGCTCGAGCCAAGTATTCACAGTAAAGGTGCTCAAGTTTCAACATTTTCAAAATGTACGATCCCGCGAATACTCTGCCGAACTCAGCCTAACTTGGCTTAGGTGTACTTCATGGAGAGAGCCGGTGATTTTTGCGTTGTGGATTACCCTAGAGGGTTCATTTTTCATCTCTAGCGAGAAGAAACGCTTCCGTATGGAGCCACTGAAGCAATAACTTGCATCCGAGTGGTCGAATAGCTTTGTTTTCATCGGGCAGTTTATGCGGCATCCAAGTATCTATTCTGCTTGCTATACCAATCTGCCACAAATGTTTTTGGATTGTCGAACTCGATTGCCTGATATGGATTCGAATCGACATGCGCAGAAATGATATTACGGCCAGGTACTATTATTTAAGCCCAATTGAGATATGTTTGCCCGTTCGTCGCAGTCGTTAGCAGTCATAGAAAAATTAAAAGGAAAGCTAAAATTTCGAATCAACCTATGCTACTCTTAAACAAAACCTAAAAATGATCTTGACACGCGTATCATTTGCAGAGTTGTCCATAAATTCTTTTTGTAACCATGTCAAAGTGACTGTTAGCCCGAGTAGATTTAAAGTAACCTACAAGGCTTTTATAATTCGTATCTTGACTTTATTTATTATATAGCACGATGTATTTATGTTGTCGATACCTGCATCCTTACTCTCCGATTGTTCTCGATTGTGCCGAAAGAGACTCTATAGTCTTATTGACACATTAACTATTAATTATGATAATGATTATTATTGTATAGTTGAATCCGTCATTAGTAATTGTGTATTATTAATTAATAAATTAAACTATTATATTACTATACGACACACCTTTCTACATAGAAAAATGGATTCAAAATTTGGTGGCGTCCTATGGTTCGAAGGTAAAATTAAAATATGTCTTCAATAAATCGTCTCTAAATTTGACGTACATCTTATGGTCCGTAAAATATGGTGTGCCGTTGAAGGTAGGTATGATGCGATTCAAGTTATCTCAAGCCAAGCGGCCGAATCATCGATTTACGTACAGTCTTAAAACTTTTATTCTAAAATCAGTAAGAATGAGACTGCGATGTTAGTGTGGGATGGGAATTCAGAGCGCATCTAACACAATCAACCAATATTCAGAAATAGCAGGCCTCACAAATCAATTACAACCCTTAGACGTCTCTATCAATAAATCATTTGAACATTTTATGCGAAAAGAATGGCATGAATGGATGGCAAAGCCAAACAATGTTACCGCAACAGCAGGTATGAAATTACTAACAGTTTCTGAATTTTATATCTGGATGAAAAATTCATGGGAAGATGTCCAAGAAGAACCGATTATAATAAAGTCAATAAGTAATTCTATAGATGGCGTTGAAGATGACGCAGTTTTTGAAAGGAGTGACAATAGTGAATAGTTCAGATGAAAGTAACATTAATGAAACGAGTGGTAGTACGAAGATTAAAGATGAACGAATTATTTTAACAATCAATAAATATTTTAATCCGAAAGTAAGATGAAAATATATTTTTCTTATCGAGTCCGGTGCCTCTTATAGTTCGAGAAAGATGGTAAATTAAACTAAACTAAAGCAAACTAGACAGGCCGCCGTTCAAAAATAACTGGAAAGCTTATAAGGCACCTTGTATGGGAAATCCGAAGACGGTAGCATTGGCAACGCAAAAAAAGGAAAAGAATGTTTAAAGCTGACAGTTTATCGTTGGTAAAAATGGACCATTTTACGGGAACGCAAGGAGTATTCGTTGTTAACCGATATTTCAAAAATCAATTCTTCTTATCTAAATTCGATGATATTGACGTGAACGAGATCGCGGTTTCAATAAGACTATGCACATATGCCATATATCCCGTAAACGAATTCAATTACTGCATGAGGGATTCTCTGGCCATGTACTCACTCGTCTAGGTGATCAGAATATCGATGAAAGGGTGCGCATGTGCCAGCAAAGCCGTGGATGTACTATTCCTCACCACTCTATCCTACGTACATTATTGCTCAACAGAAAAATTATAGTTTAAAAAAAATTAATCCTGTTTCCTATTTAGCTCAAATCTTGTGTACATTTTGAGACAAAGCCATATATATGCACGGTCCGCAGAATATCTAAATGCTCATAGTTATTTCATGCTTGTTTTTCTTTTCGAATAAATTTATTAAATCATCTCATCTTGGTCCACCTTTCCCAATACTCGAAAGTATATTTATTGTGTGTGATGTAAATTCAATAACATGTTCTTCCAATTCCCTAATGAGCGGGCGCCGCCAGTGATAAGGGCTGATATAATATGTTTTAACCGCGCTTGGCGGTGTTACGGTCTCCGCCATTTTCCTTATTAAACTGAAAACTTATATTACCAAAGCAATCGACATCGCGATCGTGCAAGAAGTAAATAAAAGAAATAAAGCTTAAAAAATGGGCAAAGTTGACAAAACAGGAATATATATATATATATATATATATATATATATGTTCAGCTTATTGTGTTCATTTGTTTAAATATCATAATGTTAAGAAGCATCTTTTTTTTTCTCAAAATAAATTCACACACAATTCGTTCGAGATAATGTGCGTGTGTGTGTGATGTAGTAGTTCCAGTAACAGTAATTAGTATTAATAACAGTCCCAGTAGCAACGAAGTCAGTAGCGATAATAGTCTTAATAATGCACAAAGTTGGTAATTATAACAACAATTTTTTTATGTTCTTTAAGTCTTCATTGAGACAAACCTGCATGAGCATGCATGTAAAACAATGTAAAATATATTTAATGAATATGTACATATATATATATATATACGGTCTGCGGTGCATGTGTATTCTTCCTTATGCTGACAGCTTATCATGCAATTTGCTTAGGCACACATACACACACACAAACACATAGATGCATACACATGCACATATTATATATACACTCATTCAGTGTATACGTTCGTCATATATTTATTCTTCTAAAATAAGTAAGTAACTTGAGGTTTTTGTTGGTAAATTTATGTCGTGCTTTGGTGTAGTAACTGTGTTGTTGCGCTTATAGTTGCCGCTTTGCGTCAGGCGTTTTCTTATTACCAACATTGTCGTTTTTCTTCTTCTTCTTCTTATTGTTGTTG